AAGGGTGAAGTTTTCATCTGTCAATTACACCCTGAGATAAAACCAGACAGTAACATTCATACCTCCTTGGCAGGTTTGCTCTATGTTCTTACTCTGAGCTCTGCTGGAATGTACCATAGACTAGCAAGAGTAGAGGTGTGGGAATTTTTTGACTCCAGAAACACAGTGTGCTAAATAGATAAAGCTGTGCCCATAACTGATTTTTTTTAGTTCACAGCTGCTTAGAAAACATCTCAACCTGATCCAAATCTTTTTCCTGCCTCCTTCTGCTTCAATGTAAATGCAAAGTCAAGGAGGGAATAGACAGGCAAACTGGACGGGAGTGGAAGAGGTGCGGTGATGCTGCAGGAATCCTCATCTGCTTCTATCCAGTGATCAGAGCACTCATGTGGGATTTGGGAGACAGAGGTCAATTCCCCTCTGTCTGAATGTGGGTCTCCCACACTTCTGGGGAGCGTTCTGGTGACTAGCTCAGTTGTGTCCTGGGTCTTCTTAGGGGATGGTCAACATTCTATGATGAAAATTAAAGATATCCTTTAAGAATATAGGAATTTTTAGAAATATAAAATATTTGTTGGTACGTTCAATATGTAATTGTTTTTATCATTTCAGTGATATGGAAACAATATTTTCACAAGCCTCCACTAATTCACAGTCCCCATGGAACAGTAAGACAAAGTGGATCTTTAATTCTCTCTGCCTTCCTTAGACCTACTCTGAATGGGAGCAATCAAACATACTTGCTTGTTTCACTAGACAGCTAGCTTCAAAAAAGTTTGTAGTTCCTTATATGGCCTACATCCAAATAATTCCTCTAAGCACGTCAAAATCTTTTATTCTATTGATTGCCATAACTTCCGTATTATGTGGTGCTACATTACATCTGTTTAAGAATGAGATGAGGCACAGAGAAACTTAATCCTCTGATTCATGGTCACACAAACGGTCTTCTGTTAAGCCAGGAAATGAGACCCAAATTACAAAATTCTAAGCAAATGCTCTACCTTCTACGCAGTCTTTCCTTCTCATGACAATAGAGGAACACGTGTAAATCCTTGTTTTAAAAGAGTGGTGACACAACCCCTCTTTCTCAACATAAAACGCATAATCCGCTGACCATCATTGTCCTGGTAAAATTTGGGTTGGAACAATATAAGTAAACTATAAGATTTTACTCTATATGGAATGAGTTTTTCCTCTCAGCAAGGTCAATCAAATTTCAGTGCCTGGTGAAGTGATCATTCCTGGGAAGGAAGAAGGATGTGAGTGAGAAATCTAAATTTTGACAGACAAACCGCTGGAGTTTTCTATTCATTCAGAAATTGTCTCAAAAACCCCATGCTGGAGATGCTTCTTGCAAAAAAGAAATGACCATGAGAAGCAAAGGCAAAGGTCTGAAAGCTACTATCCCTTTCTCTTTGTCCGCAACATAAAAAACAGTCTGGATTAAAGTGGAAGAACCTTTGGACTGGAGAGTTCTTGGTGAAAGGCATCCAGACCATTACACTGCAGTTGAAGGTGGTGAGAGAAAATTTTGTTTCAATTCCTTTAGTTTTCTAAGTTACATATTAGTTGCATTTTACCTTTTATTTCTTTTTAACTAAGTCTCGCCTTCATTGTTTGCAATCTCTTAAAATCTCTAGATAAATCTCTCTCTCAAGAGTCAGGAAATGTGTTTTATTATTTAATCCAGGCCTGTGGAATTTTGTATTGAAACAGGTTGGGAAACTCTACTTGAGAAGAGGGTTTGCACAGGCCACTTTCTGTTAATAAAAGGACATAATTTGTACGTGCTGGTATTGTCCAGGAGAGTGCTGGATGGTATAGGACACACATTCAATTCAGCATTGCTAGGTCCTCTGACATAGAGGTTCGTATTCTGTGTTGTCGGGTGGAAAAGCAGAGGGGGATTCTCTTGTTCATGAACCAGCCAGAAGATGAGCCCAAGGTTTAGCTCTGAGTTATAGGCAGCTGAAGAAGGAAAGCAACTGTGGGGAATAGATTATCCAATGTGTGCAGAACTGAAAGTGTGAAGCAATCAAGTGGCGCACACAGTATTGATAATCTGCAGCTTTCGCAACATTTTACAGCTACCTGCTCAGTTCATAGAATTCAGTGTCCCAATAGAGTTCCTCAGATCAAAGGTGTTTAAGGGATGGGCCCAAAATTCCTCAATTGAGGAGGAGCATTGATAAGAACAGAAGCCAAATCTCATGTGCATGGTTCTGATACATGCTACAGTGGGTATGATGTGGGACAGTCTGATTCCAAGCTAGTTTGTAACAGACTCCAAATTAACTCTTCTGAAAGGATTGGCCTTCCTTTGGTGAAGGTGGCCAACCAATAAAATAGACTCTATTCATCTCATTCTCCTGCAATATTAAAATGACCCGGCGGGGGATACAGCATTCCACGCCACCTGGGGCTCTTGTCCTCTGTGCTCAAAATCCACCAGAAAGACGGGGCATCGACATTAATTACGTCCTCTGTACAACTGTTGTCCTAGGACCAAAGATGCTAGGGGGAGCAATGCTGGAAGCCATCAAAGCCAAATTTACCCTCAGGAAGCAGCTCCAAGGGTACCATGGGCATGATGGGCAAATGGGGAACGATTTGACGCTGAGGCTGATTTCAGGGTTCTAACCTGGTTCTGTTTCTGTTCTTTTGAACTCCTTGTGGATGAAGGAAAGGAAAACAAAGGTACAACCAAGTCATGGGCAAAAGGGTGAGTTTGAAAGGATTTTGGCCTTCAGTTGAAGTGAGAACTAGCCAGTCACAGAACCGCAGAAGTGGGAGGGACTTGGAGACGTCATCCCTAAGTCCAGTCCCTTGCACTCATGGAAGGACAAAGCACTATCGAGAACATCCCTGACATGTGTATGTCTCACGTGAACTTAGATATCTCCAATGATAAAGATGTAATAACATCCCTAGGCAGTTGTGACTTGGTTGGGACTCTAGGTAGTGACTGAGGGACCCTATAGACATCTGGCACCAACTGCTCCTTTTCCAACATCTCCCTGTTTCCTTGAGTCACTTCCCCATAGCATCAGCTACTTCTTTACCATGTATCAGGACTTTAGTCTGGCAGTCAGTCAGTCTGTAGCTCCTGTTGCCTCCCAACTTTACCCTAACCCTGTGACCTCATTCCAAGGGCCATTCTGCTAACTTGCTTTTTTTATATGGAACAGGCTGGCCCTGATTGGCTGCTCCACTAAGCCCTCTCCCTAAGGTTGGATCAATAAGTCCTCCTCTGATTGGGTCAGTTCTCTCCAAAGTTGCCTTAACCAATCTCCCACTGTGTGGCAGATGCACCATAAGGCCATGTCAGGGTTTCCAACTATTTATTAACCCAATTGAAAGACATGTGAATAAGGTTACTCCCAGTCAGAGACGGGGAAATTAAGGCAGAAAGAATTTGAGACCCATAATTTCATATGAGTCCACAAACTCACTGAATTGGTGAATGCTTTGGAAAATGCTGCTTCAAAATGCAAGGAATCAGAAGAGGCCACTACAAACAGTTTCAGAAGGGTCATTTCTAGCTTTACAGGAAAATGCCCAATTAACAATACAGAGGAGATGTCTGGGGCCACTTCCTGTCGTCTCCATCAGGCACAATGAGTGGAGCTATGTGGCATACTTTGAGGAGTACATAAGAAGATAAGAATGTCTATAGTAGGTCAGACCAAAGGTCCATCCAGCCCAGTATCATACCTGCCGATAATGGCCAATACAGATGCCCCAGAGGGAGGGAACAGAACACGTAATTCTCACGTGATCCCTCTCATCAACCATTTACAGACAAACGGAGGGTGGGGACACCATTCCTGCCCATCCTAGCTAACAATCATTGGTGAAACCAACCTCTATGAATCTATATAGCTCTTTTCTGAACCCTCTTAAAGCCCTACACTTCACCACATCCTCTGGCAAGGAGTTCCACAGGTTGACTGTTTGCTAGGTGAAGAAAAGCTTCCATTTTTTGTTTTGAACCTGCTGCCTAATGATTTCCTTTGGTGACCCCTAGTTCTAATACTGTGAGAAAAGGTTATAAAATGTCACAGAGACTTGTCTGCAGTAGAGCAAAATCACATCATTTAATAGCAAAGGAAGAAAGTGTGCTGCAAATTAACCCCGGGGCATGACTGACACCAAGCATGACTTTGGTTCACTGAGCTCATTAATTGCGTGTGGTGTCTCTTTGAGCTCAGCTATTCCACTAACCTCTGAGAAGTTTTATACTGAAATCCGAACACTGGGACATGTTCCCTAACACACAAAACAGTCACTTTTTGTTGATGGTGAAATCCTACCACATCCCCTTCTTCTAAGCATCTAAGTTCTGTTGCCCTGCATCACTGTCACATTCAGACAGACCCCCATAGTGACCAGAAGATATTTCATTCATAGTCGCTAGCACTGAAAGCTTGAGAGCAGATCATATCCCCTTCAGTAAAGACACAGCACACTCGGCAATTACGTGGTTACTGAGGTGGATGGTTTCCAGAATCAATCATGGTTTTCATACAGGGCAATGCAAAGTGCCTTTTCATATGAAGAAAAAAAAGATTCATGAGTACAGCAAGCAGGTCCTGCCCCAAACCAACAGCCAAGCTACAGAAGTCTCCTTGCTGGAAGAGCAGAGAGAGCATAACACTCATTTACTGTCAACCCTTCCTGAGCTAAGCAATTGTCTCTTCAGTTTCAGATGACTTTCAGCCTGATTCTCTCACAACCAAGTCACAAGGCTCTGTTTGCTGCTCAGATTAGTGAAGAAGAGGGTTTCTCCATCAATCACAATTCACCTGCGTGTCCTTGTATGTGTACAGTATGTGCATTGAATGGGACACCTGATATGACCAGCTGTGAATATCTGGCTCTGTGGAATAAGCTCATCCTTGATCCCGAACTTGTATCCATTAATTTGTTATAGAAAAGGGATAATTTCCCTGAGCCATCCACCGGCCGACCTGCTGTCTGATCTCAGCCAAGAGGAGATGGAAAAGGGAAATCACTCTGTGGTGACTGAGTTCATTCTCTCAGGACTGACAGATCGTCCGGAGCTGCATGTCCCACTGTTTGTGTTGTTCCTACTGATATATGTTGCCACCCTGGTAGGGAATGGTGGAATGATCTGGTTAATCACGATTGACCCCCGACTCCACACCCCCATGTACTTTTTCCTCCAGAGTTTGTCTTTCTGTGATCTCTGTGGTTCCACTGTAATAGCGCCTAAGATGATGCTGGATTTCTTAGACGAAAGGAAAAGCATTTCTTATACTGCTTGCGCTGTGCAAATGTATTTCTATATCTGTTTTGGAACTATTGAGTGTCTCTTGCTGGCTGTGATGGCGTACGACCGTTATGTGGCCATCTGTAACCCGCTGCTCTATACGGTCACTATGTCCAAGCAGAGCTGTAACCAGCTGGTGGCTGGGGTGTGTGCTGTGGGGTTGGTGGATGCAATGATCCACACGTGTCTGACATTCCGGCTGCCATTCTGCAGCTCCAATGTCATCAATCATTTCTGCTGTGATATTCTTTCACTTCTGACGCTCTCCTGCTCTGACACCCGCATCAATCAGATTGTGATATTTGCCTTTGCATTGTTCATTAGTCTGACTAGCGCTATAACAATTCTCCTCTCCTACGTCTATATCATCTCCACCATCCTGCAAATGTCCTCTTCGGAGGGCCGGCACAAAGCCTTCTCCACCTGTGCTAGCCACTTGACTACAGTGGTCATATTATATGGCACCCTCCTTTTCATCTATTTGCGACCTAACTCCAACTATCACACGGACATAGACAAAATAGCCTCTCTGTTCTACACACTGGTGATCCCCATGCTGAACCCCCTCATCTACAGCCTGAGGAACAGGGAGGTGAAGGTCGCCCTGAGGAAAGCCATGAATAAGCTCCTGAGCAATTCATGAATCTGTTCATCCCAGCACAGGTTGAGTGATGGGCAGTGGAAAGAGGTAAATTCAATTCCCAGCTCACGGCAATGACATTATTTCTGACCCATGGTGTATTGTTTTTTGCTGTTATATTGTTCTTATAACATCGTTATTCCAACAAATCCTGCAGGCTCCAATTAAAGTCAGGCTTTAGTGTTACTCCATCAAAACTAAAGGAGGCACCTGTTTCACATGGGAGAGCATATCAATATATCTTTGTTCCTGGGGAGGGGGGGTTTACTATGACCTGCCCGATTTCTGAGGCTGAAGTAAAGGGAGTTGTTGGAGAGATTGTCCTCAAGTTTCTGCCCATGCACTATTAAGAAAAACATGATTTCCCTCTCAACATCTGTCACTTCATCCTAAGGGAACTAGGGGCGCATAATTTGTAAGAGGGACCCCGGTGTGTGCACACCTCTGTGACAGCCTGCACTGAACACAACACAAAATAGCTCAGAAAGGGTGAACTTTTGATACATCAGTTAAACCCAGAGATATAATTGGACAGTAACACCTCCTTGACAGGTTTGCTCTGTGTTCTTGTGCTGAGCTCTGTTAGAATTTACCATAGACCACCAAGGATAGACATGTGGGATTTTTTTACTCCAGGGACTGAGAGTGCCAAACAGATACAGCTGTGCCCATAACTGTTAGTTTAGTTTACAACTGCTTAGAAAACATCTCTGCCTGATCCAAATCTTTATCCTGCCTCCTTCTTCTTCAATCTAAACACAAACACAAGGAACAGCTAGACTGGCAAAATGGATGGGAGTAGAAGAGGCGGTGCTGCTGCTGCGGCTGGTACTGCTTGTAGAGTTTAACCCAGTGATCAGAGCACTGACATGGGATGTGGCAGACAGGGGTCAATCCCCCCTCTTTCTGGGGTGCTGAAGCAACTTGAAATTGGGTCTCACGGTGCTGGGGAGCACCCTGGAGACTAGCCTTGTTGTATCGTGGAGCTAGGCAAGGCTCACACTGTGTGTTGATTCCAGTTATGCTATTGCAAGTTGATGTAGCTTAGTTTGACGTGCAGCGGTGCCCACACCCTGTGCACACCGTGCTGTGTCAATGGGGGAGTTATAGAACTGAATCCATGACACTTAGATCACTTGCCAGGATCAGTGTTCACCAGCCTTGGGACTAATCCTCTGCGGGTGCTGGGTACAGATGTGTCGCTGAGCAATTGCTGCCCCATTGATCTGATGTGTCTTCACCAGACCTGCCAAACATACCCGGCTTCATTTCTGGCACCAGTGTCCATGTAGCCCGTGGTGCAGCTCTGGCCTCAGTCTCTGCTGCTGGAACTGTGGTGTTCTTGAGAGCCCCGGGCAGAATCACAGGGCCAGACAGAGAGAATGATTCTATTGACTGGTTGCCCAGGGCACCCACCTAGAGGGGGAACTGATCTACTTCATGACCCTGTTCCCATGGGTCGGTCATTTCTGTTACATAGTAGAACCACTTCGGAAGGAGAGACTGAGAGTGACCCAGACAGGAATAGCTCATTGTTCGGTGGCTGGGATTCTTTCTGGAAAGACAGGAAACCCGCATGCAGACTTGTGGCTAGTACTGGACAGACAGGGGCATTGAACCTGGATGTGTTACCTCCAAGGGAAACACCCTGACTGTGGGACAATAAATAAGAAAGCGTGAAAACACCTCTGCCTCCTTTTTCCTGTTGTTTTATATCCACCACCTAAAATTCTTCCCCTGACGAACACACATGGTTTTCAGTGAAGCAATGTTTCACTGTTATGGGCAATAAATTATTTGTCTACTAGAAATGTGTCCAATTCTGGATACATTTGCATAATAGTCACTGCACTGAATGTTGACCATGGGAAGACTGGGTTGTGGAGCCATTGATTACAAGATCCTATCTATATATTGGTATGAAAGGTCTAAGGGAGAAGAACCACATACTTCCTAGACTGGGTGATCTTTGTTTCTACATGCAATATTAAGGAGTTATTAGGATGTTGCAGTATTTGCTGATGCTCACAGAAAACAGAGATAGATACTTCAAACCCAGGCACTCTCATTATTCCACTCACTATAAATACACCCACACATGGCCACCTGTGTTAGCAACTTTATTTTTAATTTTCACATTCTGTGATGAAAAATAAAGATATCCTTTAAGAATATAGGAATTTTGGAAATTGATGTAAAAGAGTGATGAAAT